GGGCCACCCTGTAGTTTTTCTTTCTTTCTTTGTTTTTTAAAACATGAATGGAGGGTGACCCCCGCCAGCCCCTCACCCAAACACCTGCCACTCAAACCCACAGTGAAACCATCTCATTCGCTGCTCTTCTTTCTCACCCGCTCTAGCGACGCCAGTGTTGAAGTAATGAAAAGTATTTTTATTTGGTCCTTCACTTAAACAAGAATACTGTAGTAGAAGCATGGCAGGCTTTTGGATCATCACGAGGGTATACTGTGTATTTAGATGTTTATACAGAAAAGATTTTTCTATCTTTCGTTTATTTCCTCTCCTCTAATATCATTGCAGTATAACGTTCTAATGATGCGTGTAATAAATATACTCGAACTCTCGTTTTAAATACTGTGAGAAAATATTTACAGAAATACCAAACAGCAGCCACCCCGGTACGTAAAGGAGCAGCTCACCTCAAAAATCAAATGTAGTTCGTTTGTTTGTTTTCTTTCAAATGTAGGTTGTAGCTTTGTTTGGATCTGCCTTCTCTTGAACGTCATGGAACTAAAAAGCATTACATTCTCTTCTGGTTCTTGGAGCATTAAAAAAATCGATCTGAAACTAGGTAGCAGTGTCACTTTTGCAAAATTATTCTCCGGCTATTCAAGATAAAGGAACAAAACTCCACCCTAATATTGTGAGCAGCTTCATGTAGGAACTGTTTCCTTCCTGCTGAATTACAACAACCCTCTCACTCATAACGCTTATGTTTGTGACAGGGTGTGAACACTAATGGGTGTCCTCCGTCCCCTGAGCTGTTTGTTTGGCTGATGTAGACAGAAGAAAGAAAATAGTTCCTACATGAAACCTCCAATAACAAGATGAGATTTTTACCCACACCCTGCTGGGCAGGCGGTGTAGACACCCAGGTTTGTGACTGTGATAACTCAAGAATGAAACGATGTATGATTTTTAACTTTAACCATAGTTGCATCTACTAGAAGGCCAACAGTATTTTTGAGTTACCGCTTTAAGCAAAACCCCACTTCCATTATATTTAAGAGAAGGCAGACGCCTCTACAGCATACATCTATCTGTGCAGTGTACATTGTGGATAAAATAACACTAAATGCCAGGAAAATCTATTTAATCAATGACTGTGAGGTGAGCTGTCCCATTAAGCAGATTTCTTCTGTCAGGTCCTCAGTAAAACACACGGTGCTGTTAAGAATTACTGTATTTGCCATAATCAGATGACACAACTCTTTGGTACTCACAGATGAGTTGAGCTTACAAATGAAAGACGGCACGCACACGACATCTCTGACGTGCACTAGCCTTTCAGGTCCATTTCCGCCTTTTCTCCCACCCGGATGGCGCTTCCTTTCTTTGTCTGTCTTTCTTAAGGCTGTAATGAGCTGCACAGTCGCCATCCACTGCAGCTCGTCCCCAGCTGAGCTGACATTTGAAATTAGAAAAGCCCTGACAGTGATTTCACCTGAAGTGTACCCCGCCGCCACACCGGCTCTGCACCCGAACCGATCACAATCTCTTCTGGCGTGCTGCGAGACGCCGCCAGCTCTGCTTTCACACACTAGGATCAAACGCACACAGAGTGGCTCATTACCCAAGTCTGAAAGTTTACTGTATCGTACTAGATATGAAAGGTAACATTAAAAGTTTTATTTTTTGAAAAGGTGGGAGTGGCACAAAAAAAACTTTGTTTACCAGTTGAATAAGTATGCTTTTGCAGGTCAGTTTAATCGAGTAGTTATGCGTTTTATTTTGAAGGGTTCCTGAGAGGGCTTGTACTACCTATTTGACAAGGTTTCATACATCTGTTGAAATTTTGGTCAAATAAATAAATAAAACTATGTTCCTTTTTTGTTTTAGGCAAAAATAAGAACAATATGGGAACCCTTTAGTCAAACTATACTGAGTCCCTTTCATCCGTCTCTTCATGTTGTTGACTGCTTGTCTGTAGTACTTAAACCTTTTGTCTTAAGTCTTTTTTCTTCCTTTTGTGCGCGCGTGTGTGAACGAGCGTGACAACGACGACGGTGCACATCTAAATGTCTCTCTGTATTTGTAAGCATCCTTTCTGTTTTGTAGGCCATAGTTGCTTTGTTACCAGCTGCCTCAGGATCCTAGCCTGTGTGTTAGGGGTGGAGAAACCGTTTTGTTTTTCCGTCAGCGCTCTGCTGACCGGGTAGGCGGGGGAAGACACCAGCATCATAGATGTATATACATACTATATGCAGATATGACAACCTTTAAAAGTATAGGAAGGTAAAAGAAGAATCGACACCTGTATTTATTGTTGTAAATCCTCATACTGTTCAAACTGACAAAAATTCAACATGTTTTAAGTTGTCTAATAAAGAAAAAATAAACCCTATGTTTAAATATTGCAAGTGATAATGTTAGATGATGAGCAATAATGACAAAATTCTGTAATCTGAATGAATAAAAAAAAAAAAATGGGGAAAAAAAGTTATTCCTTTGTGTGCTGCTTTATTTCTGCTACATTTAATACACAGTCACCCAGTGTGTTCACATACAGAGGGTTTTTTTTTTTTATGTCGCAGCCTGTGTTGTGTCATCGTGGATTGGTTTCTAGTTGTATTTATGTGCCGTGGAAGAAGAAGACACGTGCAGCTGCTGAGGTCTGTCACAGCCACAGTGAGCTCATCTGAGCCAGCAGCAGTCAGACGGGGACATCTCTGACATCAGCTGAGCCGAGCTGGCTCTGAGCCTCTATTTATTCTAGAAACATTACTCAAGTTTATGTGAGCAGATTACTTTAAATAGAATCGTATTGTATGTGTGTTACACTATAATCTATTTACGTTCTATTTCAGCTTGTTTCTTTTGAAGCATTTAAAATGAGGTTTGGTTTGGGTGCTACAACAGTAATGTGCAAGCTTAGTTTCTTATATGAAGTGTCACTGTGACAAATCTGCAGTGCTTAAGGTGGAGGGAGAGGGTGGCCTGAAGTGGGCACAGCGGTGGAGCCAGACGTGTTTTATCAAGGTCACCAGACTGCCACCATTAATTTCACAGGGGTGGCTCTGACTCGCTGCTTCTTACTACACTGCATTCATGCCAGTGTAATACACAACGAGGACTCATTATTAACATTTATTTAACCAACTATTTCCCAACCAGAGAATAGACATTTTTATATTCTATATAAAACCAGTAGTTGCCAACTGGTCTCTAGGTTTGTTCACTGGAGCCTTATTCACGTAACCCTACAGCGAACAACTTAATGTTACATCTGTCACGTGACCACAAATCCTGAATAGATCCACCACTGTTGTCTGCTGCCATCTTTTACATACAGTCTGTAGTCAGGCCTTTTGAAGCTGCCTTGACCCACCTTTAAGAGAAATTAACCCTGATGATACCATTGGGATAGTTTTTAGACCAAACTTGAACTTTAGCCTGGAATTTATAACAGAAAATAGGAAACCTCGTCCTTGTGAAAACTGTCTGTAGGTACTTTGCAGTTTGTCTGCAG